TTCCTCCATAGACTAAGGGTCGTCTTGTTTGAATTTATCATCTTTTCTAAAGGCGGTTTGGAAGTTTAGAACCTAATTGGAGCTTTTCTAACTACCATGTGGTGCTTGGGCAGTGGCATTCATCAAGTACATTAGCTGTGGTTTTGGAAACAGAGGAAAAACCCTTTGTAAGCATTATCCTGGGTCAGAGACTTGCTAATGAGACACCAATATTGTTTTATATATTCCAAACATTTTGGACTTATGCAGAAACGTTGCCTCTTTTAGGGGATGCATTAATCATGCAAAAGTTCCTCAGTCATTTGCAGTGTTCTATGAAGAATGGACAAAGTGGATGGGGGCTCTCTGGATTGCATGTCGAAGAAAAGAAAGAATCCCGATAATTGCTCTTCATTGAAGAGACGACTTACCTCTTCATAATTCTGGAAATTTCTAAGTGTGGTGAAGCAGAACTTTTCAATAACATCAATGTGTTGAACAAAGTAGGGGATTTAGGAGTATCTGTTCTTTTAAAAATAGATATCAGAGGTGAATTTTTTAAAAGTTAAGAGTTCTAGAAATAAAACTAGCTAATGATAGAACTTCAAAAAAGGACACAACTCAGTACTGGTCTTTTACATTGGTAGGGACTAAGAAAGGAGAAGAATCAAAGGACCAAAGCACAGGATGTTGTGACAAAAAAAAATCTGTTTTGAGACCATTTTTTCATTTTTATTGAAATCATGCTGTACCACCACCCACCACGAACAGCAGCCATCATCACCATGGTGGTTAGCGTTCATCCACAAGGCTGTGTGCTGAGTCTTACACTCTCTTTTACTCCTCACTAATGACCCACTGTCAGTACCTCAGCATCAGCACCATTTCATAATTGAGGCATCTGTAGACACAGGCTAACTTGCCCAGGACCACACACCGGCAACATGGAGAAACCAGACGCCAAGTCCAGAATCCACTCTTCTGTTTCCCCTCTCAGAGAATGACTCCCAAGAGGCGACATCTGTTCTAATAAGCCACTGGACCCGTGATCTTTTCTAAAGTGGCACCCTTCTTATTTCCTACAGGATTATAAATCTCCATGTCCTAAAGCTGGGTGTGCCAGTAGATGTCTGTAATCCTAGCACCCGGGAGATGGAGGCAGGAGCATCACAAATCTGAAGCCAGCCTCAGCTACATAGCAATTATGAGGATAGCCTGAACCACGCAAGATACCTAACGTCAAAACAAAATTAAAAAACGACACTAAACATACGTACAAACAAAACCAATGCATTTCATCACATTCTAGAATACATGTTTGGGTTACATCACTGAATATCATCTATCATTTCCCTGAATATTTCATGATTTCCATTTTTCCTCTTCAGATGAATGAAATTCCACTGTGTGGATGCACTGTATTTTAATTATGTACTCATCTGTTGATAGTCATCTAGGTTAGTTCCATCTTCTTGTCATGAATACAGCAGTAAGTGGCAGGTTATAGAGGACTCTGGATATAGACTTTCTTATTTCTTTAAAAAATGCCCTATAGATCAAGTATGTCCTTTACATATCCCCAACTCTGCTGGCTGTCCCTAACACCATCCTGCCTGAGGAAACCCCATCCCTTACAACTCTCTTACTGTGGCAGAAGAATAGTTTCTCTTTTTTCCCCCCTCCATCCTCTTGGTGTTTTTTTTTTTTTTAAAGAAAATACTAATTAAATCAATTCTAATCATTACATTAACTCAAGCAAGGTAGTTTAATTAACTTTCATTTTAGGAAAATGAAATAATGGAAAGAACCTCTGATGGCCAAATGCTATCCAAACCCCAGCAGGCACTATTAAAAACAGTGCACGAGAGAAAATTAAAATAAACACGAAGACAGCTGTAGGGGGCATGGCTTTTGTAGAGTCTCTGCCTAGGCCTCCAGTTCAACTGCTTCTGTATTCCAACAGCACAAGATGAGATTACTCTTCAGTCTTGCTCAAACTATGGTTTTAATGAAATTATGTCTTTATGCTGTGATCACCTTTTAATGCCACTGCCACCACCCAAGGTGCAATAAGGTGTTGATAATGACACACACATCCACACCAAGAGTATGGAAAGCTTTAATATGTGTATACTATATATATACTTTCCAGGCATAGAGCAGGCTCCCAAGTAGGTCCAGGAATGGTTTCACTGGCTTAGCTTTCACTGTACATGAGGTCGGACTTGGGTGAGAGTTGTTACAGGCAGGCTAAGGGTGTTTGTGATTTCAGCTTCCTACGGGGGCCAATGGAAGAGCCACTGGCCTTCCCACAGCTTGTAACACAAATACGTAGTTGAGGGTAAAGTGAGGCTTAAAGGCATTTAGCGACTGCACATCAGGAGTTGAGTTTGAGTTATTACAGTGAGGTGAACTATATGCCTGGCCTGGAGAAGCCCCCTTCATTCCCAAGGCAAACTATTTTGTAGATCTGTACCAGAAGACAGGTGGCAGATAACCTGAATGCCCCCTCAAATTTTCAGAGTTGCATGGGATATGTTGGCAAGGATTTCCAAGGGCTCAAAACAGGGGTAAGAGAAACAATAGACTAGAAGTGTGTGTCGCAGAGAGATCAGTGATGTAACCAGGAAGACCTTGCTTCCTGCCATGCCCGTTCTGCAGGTCCATCTGTCCATCTTTTGCTCACTTTTCCTTTAGTATTAGTTCCCCTCTTTCTTTGTTTTGGTAATAGAAGCTCCCCCACCCCCTGGAGCACTGCAGGGTTTGTGTCTATCTGCAGATAACAGGCTCAAGGGTTCCTGGAGGCTGTGTAGCAAATACTTGGAGACTGCCGGATGGGGACAAGTGATGGAGAATGGCTGTATTCCGTAAGGGCAATAGCTTTCTCCCAACATCCTTTCTTTTCCAGGCTGGAAGATACACACGCTTCTTTGAGACAGCATTGACCCTAAGAGAAGCACAGGTAGACAGTCTCAAACATCTTGCCTACCCACTCTCTACGTATCAACTACAACTTCTGGATCGTCATGGAAGAAATAAACTTGCATCTTACATAAACCATCCTATTTGGGGGTCTGCACTACAGCAGCTTATCTTTTTTCCAACTTATGCAAGCAAATATTAAGAACTCAAGCTTATCTTTTATGAACCCCCCCTCCAGGCTGAGAGGCTTTACCTTTGGGCTTTACTTTTAACAAGTAGAAATAAGAAGCCTCACATTGAACTGGCTGTAAACAAGACCTAAAAATTACATGTGACTTTCACAGATTCAGTGTGCTTATCCTCTATTCCAAAAACCAACTGACAGCATACAGTTGTGTGTATATTCTTCGGGCCTAAATGGATGCATGTAGTTAACCTAAATCATGAGCATCAAATTGACAAATGAAAACTCAGGTTGATTAACATGTTGTTTCCTTTTATTCCAACACAGACATATGTCCATGGGCTCTTAAGGTTTGTGTGTTCTCTATAGTCAGTTAATCATAGATAATTGGATGAGGATAAAACAGACTTCATCTCCCTCCGTGTGATGCCAAGATGATGATTTTTCTCTGACTCCTGGTTTCGTGTTACCCGGTGCTTCAGAATAGTTCTGTGTTGCTAAGACAACAGGGATACTGCAAGAGAAAACTGGGAAGGAAGTCAAGGCACGGAAGCAGCCTCAAAGGATGTCATAAATAGTGTATGCCGGGCCTTATTCACAGTGAAACCTGGAACACCTGAATTAGAAAAAAAAAAAAATGACTGTATTCTTCCAACGTTCTTCCAGAGCACTAGGGTACTCTTGATAGCTTCCACTCTGAAGTCAAGAAGACAGTGATGTGTGGACCACACGTGAGGGAGTCATCACTCACTCAAGTGTTCAATCCCCCGAGGAGATAACCAAGGTGAGCCTGTCCTTAAGTTCCAATGTTATTCTAAGGGCAACGTGTCTGCAGAGTGAGAAGAAAGCCAAGGCCAACACCATGCTGTCAGCCGTTCCTCCACTGAAAATGTGCATCTCATCTGAATGAAGGCCTGATTCTGGATGGCCAATAGGGTGGGTCTGATATCAGCTGCGACTCGTGGTTGGTGTTTGGAATTCAAGTCTAGGAACAGATGCAAAGGTGACGGTTTCTGATGCATTAAAAAAAAAAAATGAGACAGGGTGTCACCATGTACCTCTGGCTGTCGTGGAACTCACCGTGTAGACCAGGCTGGCCTTGAACACAGAGAGGGCCACCTGTGCCACCCATGGCTGGCCAGGATGCACTTTTGAAGGTACTGAAAGCCCAGCAGCAGTGGCGGGGAGCCAGGATGCCTCCACAGCTCTCTCTGAACAAACTGAACAACTGCAGTCATCACCTCGCTTGGACACTAGAACATCAGGGCAAGGAATATGAAATGCTCGAACTGACTTCGTTTTCAGTCCTAACAGGAAAAAGAAAAACTGGGGCGGGGGGGGGGGGGGGGGGAACAGCGTTCAACTATAAACTGAAGAGTGTTTCATGTCATGTATGTTCTACTGCACAGAAATAAAAATCTGCCAAAAAGGAAAATAAAAAAATGAAGAAGGCTGGGACTCTGGCTCAGTGGTCCAGGGGTTGTCTAGCATGTGCAATGCCTCTGTCTTGATGCCTAGCACTTCAAATAAATGAATAAATAAATAGCATGAACAGATGAATAAGAATTGTGTCCCCAGAGCTTAGACAGGCCTTCTTCAGAATCAGGTCTCTCTCTCACAGAGTCATCTGGCCAGAAATAGTAATAGCCACGCAAAGGCAGGCAGTGGAGGATGTTTTGTTGGTCTTCAAAGGAAAAACAAAAACAAAACCAGAGTGGCCAGAGGCCGAGTCACCACTGTAGCATTACTTTTTTCAAGTAGGAGTCAAGATACTATTTTCTAGTGGAAACGGGCGGTGATATCTTCACCTGCAGGTTTGAATGCTAAGTTAAATCTAGCAGAGTCAAGTGAAAACCCTGAGGCCCCTTTAAATACCCTGGTGATCTAAGCATAAAAAAGAAAATAGAAAAGAGCACAGAGAGCACTGTATTTTAATATCTGTAAGTAGCAGAAATCATAATGGTTTGTATACTACACTATACAAATAAGATACGGTTACTTTTCCAAAGAAAACCAACTTCTCAGAGGGTTTTCCCAACAGTTAGTCACTCCGTATAGCTAAGAAGAGCTTGACCCGTTAGCCATTGCTACAGCCCGCGGAAGGCAGGCGATGAGTTCCCGAGTCTTCCATCCGTGCCTGTTTCTGATGCCACTGAAGAAGGGGCCTCGTGGAGGCCTGCTGTGGCCCCTTCCATCTCCTGCGCCACCAAATGTGGGCTCTGCAGGGCAGGCGAGTGCTGCTGACAGGGCAGCCTCTGCGCTTGGCTTCCCCACAATCCTCCTCCAGCATTAGGAGAACTTGCGCTTCTTCATGGCTTCTGCCTTGACCGCCAGGCTCTTGGCACAGATGGTCAGGACCACAATGAGAACGCCCACCACGAACGTCACCACTGGCCAGAGGAAGCAGTGCAGCAGGACAATCTCATCGTGCGTGCGGTGTAGGAGAACGTCCTCTGGTCTGCGAGAGAGTGGAGGAGACGGGGAGGAAAAGCAGTCAGACTCTCATTACAGCATCAAACACTCCACAACCTGCATACAAACTCGCTTTCCAGCCCAAGGGGATAATCAACCCTTGAAAAGTGAAGACTCTGATTAGAGACACCATACTTTCTGCTTCAAACCCATTTCCGAAAGCTGTGAGCTCTCAAATCAAGCAATTGGGGCAAATTTGCATATCACTTATTATATCGTTTGCAGGCTGCAAAAATGTCAAAGGTAGAGCATCACTTGGCTATCATTTTCCTCCACCCTAAATTGCTTCCTTTTTCTTCTTTTCTTAACCTCACTGGCCAATGAGTATAGATGAGGCTAAATGTCATTGATGGATGGGTATTCTTCAACAAACCTAAACTCCATCTTGGAATTTAGATGGATTCCAAGTGATTTTAATTTGGGAGGCGGAGGGATTTCATGCTGTTGTTCAAGTTAGGGTAACAGAACATATATAGCCCACAGGCAAGCCTAACCTGTAGTGTTGGCCACATGCATCCCAAGATTACCATGAATGCAGACCAACACACTGAAATACCACTACATCACATCACAGCAGCAAAGGCCGGTACCCCTAGTAGTTCTTAGGTCAACTGAGCTTTGCTATATGAACCAAAGTTTTTTTTTAATTAATAAAACCTTTATAAACAAAATAAAACAATAAGCAGGCAACGGATGAACTGAACGCATCATCTATGTTTCTATACGAAACTGATCATCCATTGGAGCCACTGCCCGCTCTCTTAGCAGATCTTGCAAAGCAGCAGTAATAGATTTCTCTCTTGTCAGTGTGAATATTGTTTCAATTCCTACATTTGTCTCTGGTAGAAAGCAAAGATAAGATAACCTCCACAAACCATGCTCGCCCACCCCTTGGCAATTAGGCAGATGTCTGGGAGTTCAGTTTTCATACAAGAGGATTGTATTTTATGAAATATTTGCATTTCATTCACAGGAAGGCTTGCTCTGTTACCCCACTACTGTAGGATATATACTTATACTTCCTCCAGAAAAGAATAAAAATGTTGCAAAATACATTGTCCCACTATCCCCAACAACATCAAAGGCCCCAGAGCCCAAGGGCAGTTCCTTTAACAGGGAAGTGTACTCCTGGGAGCTTTCATTAGTATTAGCAGCTTTCATTATTTCCCAGAAGGCTGATAAAGGACACTGGGTATTTCTCTTTTCTGTATAGTGAAGTTGCCATACAGCATCAGCAAAAACAGCTGTGCAGGATGGATTTGAAATGACTGAAAATCCTTGTGCTTTTCTTCTTGGGTGCATAATTTCAATTTTTGCACATAAAGTGAGATCCTACTTGGCATTTCAATGAAAATTTATATTAAGTGAATGCAGAATCACTGCAGCAACGAGGCCAATTACTCTTAATGCAACCCATGGTCTTCAAGACCTGGGCTGCCATTCATTTAAGTTCAATTATTTTTTTTTTCTGCTGTAAGATGCAACAGGACTGTGACTTTGTGGTCTGTCATTCTACGTGCTTTTGTTATTAAATAACTTGCTGCTGCTGCTGCTGCTGCTGCTGCTGCTGCTGCTGCTGCTGCTGCTGCTGAAGAACTTGATTGTGTTGCAGCCTTATTATCTTCGTCATCTCTAAAGAAACTTTATGACTAAGTCTGAAGGAGTAGAGGCCAAGGCCCCCACATAGCTGAGGCACAAGACAGAGTCACTTTTAGAGCCTTTGAAGTCTTCAATGTCAACACAGCCACCGTGCTCTTCCCAGCTACAAGTGCCCACAGTGGACAGACGACCCTACCTAAGAGGTCTAACCTGTCTCCCAGGATGCTCTTTCTGGAAAACACTATTCTATGCCTTTAAAACTATTGATACAAAGAGGAGTTCTAGCCAGGTGGAGGTGGCACATGACTTTAATCCCAGCACTTGGGAGACAGAAGCAGATGGATCTCTGTGAGTTTGAGACCAACCTGGTCTACAGAGCAAGATCCAGGACAGTCAGGGTTACACAGTAAAATCCTGTCTTGAAAAAAAAAAAAACAAACAAAAAACAACAACAACCAAAAAGAGGAGTTTTAGATTCGTCATCAAAAGGGTCAGATAAACAGCAATGAAAAAACTTGATACCAATGAAAAAAAAAGAAAAGGAGAAGAAAGGTGATCTAGATTTCTATTTCTATAGTAACTGCATGTGTAATTTGCGTAAGTAATGTGCTTTGGTAACTAATTTTCTGGTAAGATGCTTCGTGTAGATCTTCTTTGGTATTCTTCCTCCAGTCATTATTCAGGATATTACTGAATGCCTTTATCATAATATTGAACAAATAGCCAGTGAAACAGATCCTACAAGGGATGCCGGAACTGCCATACATACCATACGTACCACCTGATACACAGTTTGAAGAATGTGTGTTGGATAAAATGTGAAGGAAACAGGCAGGAGAGAAGGAAGCAACCGGAAATTGGTGGATCCGGAAGCTTGTCTTCCTCAGAAACTCTCTAGAGTTCTATCTCCTTGTTCCTGGGGAATACTTAGCGTTTTAAAGCTTTAAGCGACAAAATAAAATGACTCATTTGAGCTGAATTTGAACTGCTTCAACAAATCCTTTTTTAGAGGTAGAAAAAAAATTACCATACACATTTCCTTAAAAACCATGCATGTTGCCGGGCGGTGGTGGCGCACGCCTTTAATCCCAGCACTCGGGAGGCAGAGCCAGGTGGATCTCTGTGAGTTCGAGGCCAGCCTGGGCTACCAAGTGAGTTCCAGGAGAGGCACAAAGCTACACAGAGAAACCCTGTCTCGAAAAACCAAAAAAAAAAAAAAAAAAAAAAAAAAACCATGCATGTCTGTTTCTACTTCAGACAGCTCTAAGATGCCCCACAATCTCCTCAGATAGGAAAAACTCATTTCTCAGGTCACTAGTCACTTGGTTATGATTCACTGAGATCACTTTTAAATTGCTTCCTCTAGCCTAAGTTTCTCTCATTTCAACTGGGTTCATAGTATTGTAATTGAAGGTACTCCCCTGCTTCAGTTATTTATTTCCTCTGGATTCGTGGGCCAAAAACTATTTGGCTTAGAATTCACTTTTTCACATGGTTATAAGGTAGAAATAAAGAGGACCGTAGACAAAAAAAGCCAGACATGATTACTCTGTACCTGAGGGTCCTTTTGGAAGATGTGGGAATTATAATGGGAACTGAGTGAGATAGGTTCTTCATCCTAAAAGAATAAACATAATGGGTGACCTTGGGGAAGGCCTGAGTGTAGCTTTGAAGGACACTGTGATAATAGTGACACTTTTGTTGGCTGTTTTCTTACATTTAGTGTTTACTAAGCACATGCCACCTGTCGGGTACTACGGCAGGACATCCTCAAAGCAACTGTGTTAGAAACATTTTAAAAGGAGCAACGGAAGGCATTAGTTGGTTTGAGCTCACACAATTTAAAGTGAGGGCATAATAATTTGAAAGCATATCTGTGTGATTTTTTTTTTTAAAGATCTGTGTTACTTTTTTACCTTGAAGGCAGCTTTAGATTCAAGTGGTACTTGTTTCCATCCCCTATTCAGTTCTCTCAGAATCTGAAGTTGTGGGGCCCAGAAGTCTTGTAGAAACTCTGGGGTAATTCTATTTATCCTTGTGCAAGAAGCATGAGGTAGAGATCTAATCACGAAAGAACGCAGAATGTTCCAGAGTTAGCACTTCTCAGACTATCCCACGCTAACTGAGACTTAGGTCCAGGTGACTTTCTCAGCTTCCACAGGATTCGATGGAGCAGGTGTACTGCTTTCTGAGTGCTTTACTATGTACCCTCACAGGAAAAGACAGAACACTGCACCCTCACAGGAAAAGACAGAGATCCAGGACAGGGCAGACATGTACGGGGCAGGGCCAGAGGCTAAGGGTTGGAAATACAGACTATGGAGTGGAATTTGCCATGGGAGGCCCTCAGTTCTCCTGTGAGAACCAAGAAGGATGCCTCCTAGGCCAGCCCCAATTCCAATCAAATGAGATAAAACCACAGAGATTTGGGACACATCCTCTTAAATACAGAAAAACTATTCCCTCTGACTTTGTCTCATCAACTAGGAAAACTTACAGCCCACAGTACTTGTTCTGTTGGCCAGAAGGGGGTGGGGTAGGGGGGAGATAGTGATTTTAAATAAATAAATAAATAAATAAATAAGAAATCTCTTCAATTTAATCTGTTCTTATCAAATCTCAATGGGGAGTCGGGAGACGTCTCAGTTGGGAAAGTGCCCCATGTGTAATAATGAGGGTCTCATCCATGTCCCCAGCACCTGCGTAAAAGCTGAACTTAGCTGTGTACATCTCTAGGGTGGAGATAAGTGGATCCCTGGGGCTCATCAGGCAGCCAATCTAGTCAATCAGTGAGCTCTGGGTTCGGTTAGAGATGCTGTCTCAAAAGATAAGACAGCCCTGCATGATGCACGCCTTTAATCCCAGCCTTCCAGAGGCAGAATGGGGGCCATCTCTGTGAGTCTGAGGCCAGTCACAACCTCACGAGTTTCAGAGGCAGAAATAAGATAAGGTAACTAGCAAGAGTGAAAGACACCTGACATCCACCTCTGGCCTCCATACGCACATACACACATGCGCACATGCACTCACGTGCACAAATACTACACGCATACCATAGGTTGAATATCATCATCATTGACGAATATGGTATTATGGAAACTGTACCAACCAAGAGGCAAGATGACCCACTTAAAAGAGCTTTCTCTGCGATATCCTACAGATACAGAGGAACAGAGGCCCCTCTAGATCACCAGAAGTCCTTTACAATTGGTTGAGCATAGGATTTTTCTCATCATGGAAGCAGCTACAACATTAAGGTTTTGACCCATTTTAGCAGGGCAATAAGTCACCCTTCTGCTAGACACACTCCTCTTGCCTTGCCTTTTCAGTCTTGTGTATTTGGAGCTGATCTTAATAAACCCCCTCACCCCACCCCACCCTTCGGCA